TCTGACGCTTTAAAGTTAGATGCAGGACCTGGCAAGTTAATCCTTAGGGTTTCTCTTAATATATCTTAGAAGAACAGGTCGCATTCCTCTTCTCAGTTAGAGGGAAATTTCTCTTGAGACTGCCTTCACCCTAGTTTGAAGAGACAGATTTTGAATCCATTCTCTTAAACCCTTTGCAGAATGACTCTTGCTTTGAATCATTTCTTCTCCATAAGCTTGGATCCATTTTATAGTCCTATTTGTCTTGTTTCCTCAAGTATTAGCTGCTATCTCAGTACAATTCCTGGAACTGCAGAAAAAAAGTGAAAAACTTGTGTGTGCACCAGAGTACTACATCACCTGATGGAAATCTGAAATTCTGTTCATCTGTAAATGAACAACTGTTCATTTCAACTGGAAAATGTTACAAGGAAAATGTATAAGAAAAAGGATTCACTAAACAGGCCTTTCTCCTTATTTGAAATATTTTTTATTATAGTCCCATTTGACTTCTGTGCTTGCTGCTTTCTGTACACCATGTAAATGATGTTGTTCTTCCTCTTTTCAGAAAACTGATGATCACAAGGAGACAGGTGAAGGAAGTTTCTCATTTTGATCTTGCTGATTTTTTGCTGATTTTATGTAGGTCCCAGGATACTGTTTGTGGAAAGCCCAGGCCTCTTGAAGGCTATGGAAATGCTTTTTCAGTGAGTAACCACATGAGGGCACTGAAGAGCGTGACATTATAGCATTCTCTCTGAAAAAGAGCATTATTTCTGATGATGTTATCATCTGTACCAGCTGCAGGATGAAGTGAGGTCCTCTGGATGGAAATGGAATGTTAAAAGTTTTTCCTCTGGGAGAAATTTTCCTCCTGTCACTGGCCACCACTGAAGAGCATCTGGCTTCATCCTCCATATGTCCACCTCCATCAGGTGTCAATTTACATTGATTAAACCCTCACTCAGAACCTTCTTTTCTCTAGGCTGAACAGTCCCAGCAATCTTGGCCCCTCTTGATGGGGGCTGTGCTCCACTTCTTTAATCATCTTAGGAGCCATTCTTGGGCTCTCTCTGTGATGTCCATGCCTGTCCTGTCCTGAGCAGTCCAGAACTGGGCATAGTACTCCAGGTATGGCCTCACCAGTGCTGAGCATCAGGGAGGAATCACATCCCTCAGCTTGCTGGCAATAGAAGAGAATAGAACAGTTCAGTTGGAAAGCCTGTTCTAATGAAGAGGCTCTCCATTCTGGAAAGCCTCTCTAGAAAGCCTGTTCCAGTATTTCATCACTCTCATGGTAAAGAAGTTTTTCCTAATGTCCAGGCTGAACCTCCCCCAGTGCAGCTTTCTGCTGTTCCCTTGTATTCACTGGTTATTAGGGAGAAGAGGTTGCCTCTTAGGCTTCTTTCTCCGAACTAGCCAACTCAAATGTCCTCAGCCTCTCCACATAGGACACACCTTCCAGCCTATTATTAGATCAACTCTCTCCTCTGGATACTTTCAGGGACGTTTTTACTTTGTGGAAACCAGAACTGCACACCATCTTCAAGGTGGGGTTGTACCAATGCTAAATACAGAGGGAGAATCCTGACTGGCTGTTTATGCTGGGTTTAATGTGTCCTAAAATGTCATTTGCCCTTTGGCTGCCAGGCACGCTGCTGGCTCACGTTGAGCCTGTTGCTGACCAGCACCCCCAGATCCCTTCCTGCTGAGCTGCCCTGCAGCCTCTTATCTCCCAGTCTCTACCCATGTTTGGCCTTACTCTGTCCCAGGTGCAGCACCTGGCAATTTCTTTTGTTGAATTATTTGCCATTGCTAATTGCCCAGTGCTCCCTTTGCAAGGCCTCTCTTCCTAAAACCTGCCAGTTTTGTACCATCAGCAGCCTTGCTGTGGATACATTGCAGTTCTGTATCTAGGTTATTGACAAAAATGTCAGGACTGGCCCTAGATTTGAGCCATGGGGGGAACACCTGGGAATGCCCTGTGCAATGCAGCCAAGAATACCGCTAACCTTAGTGGCAAGGGCACGTTGGTGACTCTTGTTGAACTTGGTGTCCACCAGGACCCCCAGGTCCTGTTCTGCGAGGCAGCTTTGCAGCTGGGCGTCCCCCAGCACGTCCTGGTGCCTGGGATTGTTTGTCCCCAAGTGCAGGGCTCTGCACTTCTCCTTGCTGAACTTCGTGAGGTTCCTGTCAGTTCCACGGAGAGGCTTGTGAGGCAGGATGACTATTTGGTTTTTCCTTCGTGGGTGCTGCTGACAGGACTGCTGCTGTGCAAATCCAGCATCCCTGTTCAGCACAGGGAAAGGGTCCATCAGAAATTCACAGAGGTGTACAAGTCCTTCCCAGCTTTGGGCCCAGGAACCTCAACTTGGGCCGAGACTGTCTCAGAGTCTGGGGCAACTCTGAGCCACACAAGCTCTCCAGAGTCCCCCCTTATCCCCAGGCTGCAGCCAGCCCCAGGGCCTGCTCCTGTTCTTCTGCCACATCTCCTGCGGGGATGGTGCCAGGTGCCCCAGGTCACCCAGCTTGTACCAGAGCCCTGCTCTTTGGCCGTGCGATTTGGGCGCCCTTCTGTGGCAAAGACTCAGAACTGCAACCCTCTTTTAGGCTTCGTGCACACCCCAGGCATCCCCATCGCCACATAAATCTGCGTTTATTTAGGAGAGGTGTCCCCCGAGTCCTAAAGCCCTTTGTAGGAGACACAGGCTAAACACAGCTCCCTGGAAGGGCCGAGAGCTGGCAGATGCCCCGCAGAGAGGGGAGGAAAGAAGGGGTTAAGGAAGAGAGGGAGGGACAGGCTCCAGTTAGCAGATGTCCAGGGCTGAAAGTAGGTCACCTATTTCTGCCTGGGAAGGGATTTGAAAGTCGATGCTCCATCGATGTGCAAACAAAGCCAAGTAGTAAGGCAAGGAATAAAACTGAATGTTGGAAGCTTGTCAGAAATACTCTGAGTACACAGGGCTGCTCTAACACACCAGACAGATATTAATTAAGGCTATCTAATAAAAAATGTACTTTACCTGCATGTGTGTATATACAGTCACATATGAGGGAAAGGCTAATAATAATAACAACAAATAGTGAAATTAAAATAATAATAATAATAAAGTCTTTGAAACCTATAAACTCCAGAAAAGCAGAATTTCTCTCATTGCACACATACAAGGCTTGGACAGATGTGGGCTTAATTCTGGTTTTCTCTCAGCAACCTTGGGCACAGTATTTAGCCCTAGGTTCTCAAGGCTAAGTACTAGCCTCTGTTGATGCCTTTGTCACGGCAGCCAGGGAAGCCAGAAATTGGCAAACAATTCTGAGGTTGTGATCCTTTGTGTGCCCATGATATAAAAGAGGTTAAATAGTATTGCCCAAGCATGTCATGGGGTCTCTGCAAAACATTCCCTATCTCAGAGGTTGGACCTCTACAAATTGTTAATTGTGAACTTACACTTTTTAGGAACCTAATCCTGGCAGTTCTCACAATTACATACATGGGGACAGCAGGTTAGGGTGGGTAGGAAATGCAGGGGGAGCACAGGAAAACGAATCCACAGAAAGTGGATTTCTCTGGCCAGGTCAGTATAGGGTCATGTTGCAACTATTTACAGTGTCTAATTCAGGAAAAAAATAAACTCGAGAACAAATTCTGACTGACATAAAAACAGCTTCTCTAGCCAGTTCAGCTTCAGTGTGCCTAGGTGTCTAGCACGTACTAATTGCTCCTGAGATGCCATTGTCATAAAAAATATTGGATTTACTGCAACACAAAAGATCTTTCAGGTTTAAAAAAAAAAAAAAAAAAAAAGACAATTACTTTGTACAATTTGTTCAGCAAACAAAATATTTCTTAAATTTCTGTAGTTTTTATCAGTAGCTAAAGCATCAATGAGAAACTTCTGAAAGAGTTTAGATGCTGCAGAAGACACGTGGGTGGTTTTCTGTTTGTTTGGGAAGGGTATTCCACAGAACAGTTATCAAGCACTCTTTAGAGCTTTCTAGTGCAGGGTCTCCCAAGGCCAATTTCAAAACCCTTTTCCACTGATGTCCTTCTATTTATTTCATATCAACTGCATGACTCTGGGGAAAGAATCTGTCAGCTGGAATCTTCTAGCACAGCAGATTAAATCAGCTAGCTAAAACCTAGATTAGGGAGGTGAGGAAATGTTTCACATTTGCTACAAGCCAAATCCTTAGTGAGATAGTTTGAATTTGGAAACATTTGCTCATGAAAATCTCATCTGGGGTGGAAGACTGCCCTTGATGTTCAGGTTTCTACCTTAATCCATCCCCTGGTTATCTTGAGGTCTGTTTTCTCTGGATATGGCATCCTTGGTGTACCCCTGACTCTTTTTCCTAATTTTAAAAGGGTTAAATAGGACTGGCCAAGGGGGTCATGAAGTCTCTGCAAGGTATTTCCTATCTCAGAGGCTGGAACTTCATGAACAACTAGTTGCAATCACTTACCTTTTAGGAACCTAATCCATTTCACTGCTATTCCTCCTGTTTGCATATATGCACCATGCTATGGGGACAGCAGATTAGGACAGATGTGAAAAGAGGGGAGCTGGGATACAGAAAACATCTTTGTTTTCCTAGAAGAAGCACCATGAAGGTAATTTCTCCACCTTGTTTTTCCTCTGTGCTAATTTAATCAGTTTAGCTACTAAAAGATGGACTTAAGTTGATCATAGTGGTCTTTTCTGGCCTTCAAACAAAGAAATGTTGTCTTTCCTCTGTTTATTTCTCTCTGAAACAAGGCAGTGAAAAGCAGAGACAAATTCTGGTTTTAATGTTGCAGTATGAAAACCCCATGCAAGTTTTCATCCTGACCATTTTGGGGATGACACCTCTTTTCTATGGTGGAACTGAAAGGGAAGAAAGAGAAGGGAGAGGGAAGGTTTGCAGCAAAAATAAATTGCAACTGGTGCTTATGACATACACTTGATTAGATGATTATTCCCTGGGCTCACAAGTTTGTCCGTATTACCTAGCCTATTTCAATCCTCTTTTCCAGTCCTATGCTGCAGTTTCACAGAGATATGAAATCAGTAGTTACTGGGCAGCTGTATCTTAGCTGGTTGGAAAGTGACACAATATATGCACTTGGCATGCTTGGAAAGCACGTTTCTTTTCCCGGGAAAAGTACCATAAAGGTAATTTCTCTACCTTGTTTTTCCCCTGTGCTTGTTTAATCAGCTTAGCTATTAAAAGATAACAAGGGTTTAGGACTATCATTAGCCCAGAGTGGTCATGTGGTTGTACTGGTAATTAGCACTGCTGTTGAACTCAGTATTGTTTAATAGGTAACTACAAAAGCAGTACCAACTGTACATCTATACAAGCAAGAAAAAATGAAGGCCTTCTCTTCTTGAATTAATATTCAGTTATTTGTTTAGCTGAGTTTTTTTTCCTTTTTGGCTCTGTGACATTAGTATGTATATCCAAAGCATTAAACTGCTTGAAATGGGATTAGGACACTACAGTCTAAAATTGCAGTCCTGCGATCCTCCTGCTCAGCTGCTGTGTAAGCTTTAAGGTGTCAAAAATCCCTGGGAGGGCTCTGAGAGGGCCAGATATCTCACATCTGAATCACAACACAGAAAGTCTGTTTTGCTTGTCTGAGACTCCAGGAGTTCAGCTTGGTCGCTATCCTGAGTTCTAGGCATGCTTCCAGGACACTGGACTCTTCTCAGCTCCCAGCCCTTGGCTATATTTGCTTTTGAAGCACAGCCAAAGGGAGAAGAAATGAAGATGGGTGCTCCTCATATGCAACAGTCTACAGCTTAGCTCACTCAGTGAGGTTGTGGCACAACAGGCACAAATTCCTTTCTTTGCCTATGGGAATTTCAACCTGCACCTCTCAAATGTCCCCATAATAACCACCAGGTAACAAGCTCTCCTGAGGAGAGCCCCAGGTTCTGCCAGCTGTCAGGGCAAGAAGAGCACTGCTGTAGTCCAGTCACCAAAGGCAATTTCTCTGTGTCTGCAAATATATTTTGTTGGAGATTACTTAATGGATATTTAATTAAATTATGTTCACTTGTTTTCGTAGTGTGACTTGGGTCTTAGCTTCAAATGCCAGAGATATTAACAGATTGCTACAAAGAGCTGAAGAACAGAGAAGACTATGACCTCAGGAGGTGATGGACTGAGAGGGGGGTGACATACAGATACGCTAGGAAGTACTTTATGTGACTTCTGCATTATATCTAGCCTAAGAAATGAATTCACAAGACTTCTAGAAAAACAAAACAAACAAACAAACAAAACCCCTACATCTGGTTAATCAGCATCACAATTCCGTAATAGTAATACTTTGAAGGGAAGTTACCATAGAAAGAACTAAGATGCAAGCAGCAAAGAAACACTGCAGTGGGACTGTGGAGAGGATTTTGATGTAAAATAATGAAAGGATTCAAGTATAAGAATATTAATGCAATTAGTGGCATCATGCAATTGTATCTGCAAAGTCCTAACTTTGTTCAGCAGAGAAGTGATTTGGAGCATACTGACTGTACAAGGGATCTGTGTTAACTGGAAAGAAAAAAAACTTTGTTGACAAAGGTGCTGCCAGGACACTTGCCTAACTGATGAGCTACTTTGTGATCCGCAGCAAGGAAGGCCAAACTTCTGTGTCTCTCGTTTCACTTCACTGTTTAATTATTTCTCACTGAAGAGGCTGTCTCTTTTAACTGATTTGTATGATATATATAATAGCTAACCCTTTGGCTCTATTGCATTATTGTAAATACTCACTGCATGTGGTTTGTTTCTAAGAGCCTTCCAAACTTAAAAGGAAGCAAAAGCCTATGAACTATGCAAGTAGCTGAATATAGATGCAATATTTTTGACAAGTGTCAGGCAAGAAGTTGCAACAAATACAGATAAAATCCTGTAATAACTTAATACCAGACTGTTGTGCTGCAAATTTTCTTTATTGTCACATGTTACATTACAGGAGTTATCAAGAGGGAAACTAGAAATGTTGGCAGCTGCACAGAAGGTTAGACAGGGATTTTGTCATCCATAGAGGGTTAACATTTCTTAGGAGGACTCTAACCAGAGCCATTTTATCACTCTTCTCCAAGACAATCTGCATGTGCTGCTTGCAGCCCAGCAGTGAGATAGAAGCAAGCTACTTCATGTTTGTCTCTTTGATATACCAGAAGCGTTCATTTTCCATGGAAATCTGGATTTCTGTAGAAATTCATCCCAGCACTGTGGTTCAGCTACCTTGTCAAAAACAGCAAGCAATGGAGCAAAAGAACAGACAATGACAATTGACAAGAATCAGCAGATAGGAACTCTCCCTGGCAGCAATAGAAGATAACAACATCCTTCTGCTATTCCTCCGTATCAGTAGGTTAATCCAGAAGGAGAGGGCAAGATAAATATCACTAGAACGATCAAGAAGCAGAATATAAAAGTTCAAGCTTTATGCTGTACACTGCAGATTCTGAAGGGGAAGTGCCAGGCTCGTCTTGTTGAGATAATGTGTTTTTATGACTGTAGATTGCAAGAAGATGCACATCTTTGATGGACTTCATTTACAGGCCATTTTGGTCAGACTGGAAAAGGGAAGTTGTCATTTGAGAAATGTGGTGTCTCATTCAGCCTGGCTTCACACAATGCAAATGCATCCATGTCCACATGAATGGCCATGTGTCCCTCGAAGTTAGTTTGTACACGTATTGACCAATCAATTCAATTAAAAAGGGTTGAAATCTCACCAATATACTTGTGCATCTCATCTGGAGCTTGATGTAGAGGGACAAAACTGAGCCTGTTTACCAGTGATGATATGGTGGGCTGGTTTGCAGGTCTTTTGGGGTTCAGCACAGCACATGCTGTCTCTTGTCAAAAGTGGGTGTGGGGGTAAATGTTACAGGAGATAGGGAGCTGAAATTACTGTGGGAGGGGAGAATATAGGGGACAGAGTACATGTCGCTTAAAGGCTATACTTAGTTATTTCTGCTGCTTACAGTATAACCTGGTTTATTACCAGGACCTAATTTGGTGTCTGGTGTTAATAATTAATGTAACAAGGCCTTCCCCTGTTACCCTTGATTTCTAATTAACAGTGCTATAAGTATTTTCAATTGGAAATAAAGTATTGGCCTTTCATTTGGACAAAACCAACAGGTCATTGCTCCAAGGAAATCACCCTGACACTTACATGGGTTTGGTGGTAGCACAGGGAACAATGTTCAAGATCATCAGGCTTCCTCTTCTGCACCCTTTTTACCACATAGTAAGGTACAAGGAGCCTCCAACAGACTTTGTGAAATTGCCTTATTCTGCACAAATAGCTTTTGACCATGTACACCACTGTTTCCTTGATGATTGTTTTGGGTCCCTTCCAACTCAGGATATTCTGTGATTCTACGATCCTCTGAGAAGATGGGAGAACCAACCTGCAGAGAGAGCTGGGGTTAGTTAGCCAGGACTGCTCCACCGTGGGGCTTCTCCACTCCTTTGGCCACCCAGCAGCCCACATGTTGTGCCCATACTCTGCGGCCAGCAGATCTCCAAAGCTAACAAGTTCTGTTTGCTTTTTGCTCCTAGGTGATAAGCCATATTTTTTCGCATCAGCTCCCAGCTGAGTGCTGGAGAGGTGGGAAAAAATATGTGAGAATGGGGGAGGATAATCAGTACTGATCTAACCCTCCCATGGTGACAGGAGGGGGCTGACTAAAGGGCCAGGTAAAAATTGAATGAGTTGGTGCCAAAGCTTCCCTCTGTGCCTGTGCTCTTTCCATCAGGACTGCAAGGATGGTGTGGAGGTCCATCCTGGTCCCCAGCAGTTTTTCCTTAGAAATGCTGATAGGATCAGTGTTAGAAATGAGATTAGAAGACTGAATTTGAACATTTTGTTTTAACTAAATGGATTAACTTTTGCGTTTGGTACAGCCAAGCATCCACGTTCCCCCTCAGCAGCATAACCATGAAGTCATTGTTCAGAAATGCTTCTTCCCTCTTCTTAAAGCTCCTTAGTCTTCACAATTTTAATAAGCTGTTGGGCTAAACATTAAGTCATTAAAATTCTTTAAAGATTTTTCTTTCTTCTCTCTTGAACTGTGAGGAGGATAAAGGGTTTTGTAAGGGTTCTGGTTTTATGGCTAAATTAGAGGTGTTTGTGTCTCAGCTGACCTTCCCCTACAATTGTTACTTTCTTGTTGAATTAACACAGCTGCAGGACTTCTTTGGTGCAAGGCGCCCAATCATTCAACTCTTTCTAGGTCTGTTTCCTACGTATAACTTGTCAGGACCCAGAAGAGTTAATTACAACCAAATTCAGACGGGTTTAGACTACAGCTTCATTGTATGCCTGATTTGCTTCAGGCCACATGCTGCCAGTGGGGAGGTTCAGCTCCAGACCTCTGCACAGGTGCTAGCACTGCCTTGCAGGCACTGGTGCTTCCCTGTTCCTCTGGGGGAAACCAGTCTGCAAGCTGGGCAAACTGGAAATGAAAAGCTCTTCGTAGGGTCCCTCAGCTAGGTTGCTAGATTCCTGGAGAATACAAAGGGAAGAAAATGGGCTGATACAGCCAGGACCATGGTGCTCCTGGCATATGCTATGCACAGCCTGAAGTGTAGCAACAGCTATTGTCAAATTGTGGTGAAAGGGTACAGTCCTGCTCTCCTCCTCTGGTGTCACATCTAGCCACGGGGTGAGCTGGTTTGGCAGGTTACCCTGCTGCTTGGGAAGACGAGCTTGTTTTCCAAGGAGTGGCAGCAGAGCTGCTGAATCACAGCAGCAGGCAGCAAACGTGGCACCTGCAGTAGGGCCTGCCAGCCCCCGACAGCTTCAGGATGTGGTAAGAGCTATGGCTGAGGGGTTAATGGTACGTGGTGATGAAATGTGCTTGGCTTCAGCTGATGGGGTGATGGTTACTGAGCAGGCTGTTCATTGTTGTATTTGCATTCTACCGTATGTTGAGGAAGTGGCCAACTTGTATGATTAGAGGGATCCAGAAGAAGCCTCTGGAAGTGCCCCAGGCAGCTACCATCAGAAAGTTAAGATATTGACATTTACAATATCGGGAACTACCCATTTAGTAAAACACTACAAAGCTCCAGGTCACAGACCATGACTATAAGTTCTGAGTTTCCCTGACAGCAGTCTGTTGTAGTATTTACAAATACAAAGTAATGTAAAAACAAAGTATATATAAAGCAACTTGCTAGTAGCTGCTGCTGCTAATGTCCGAAACTTTTCCAGAATGGAGAAGGCAGTGATAAAGCCCTTGAAAATTAGGTGTGTGTCAATGTAAACATCATCCTGCCCCTTCTGAGCTCTCATCCATCCCTTACATTCAGGGCACATTTGTTCAGAATATAGGATGTGTCAACAACAGCAGAGTTTAACACCACTTTATTGCAAAGTTAAAACTTATACTTAGGAGAGCTATACTGCATAGTAGCAATTTACAAATGTTTTATACTCGAACAGCTACTCCCTTCTCTGGGTAATACCTCTAGTGCTTGCTAAAGGTTTTGACCTCACCATCCTTTTAACAATCTAGTTGCTCATCCTAAGGATACCATTTAACATTGTAGTCTCATTTATCCATTATTTATACCTGTAAACCATTCCAGACTACTGTCTCCCTGCTCATTTTCCTGTGCAGAGTCTTTCCCACAGACTTTCATCAACAACTGAAAATACAACAAGCACTGCCTCACTTTATATAGGGAAATCTCTGTTGTATTCTGTACAGATACTCCCTGCTAGAATAAAAAAGTGTCATAGAATCATTTAGGTTGGAAGAGACTTCCAAGATCACCTAGTCCAACCTATGACCTAAACTAACATGACACAGACAAACAAACGAAACAGATACAGTGAAAGAAGAGAGAAAGGACACAGCTAAAAAGTGGAACAGTCTATAGAGCCTTCTGGGCTGAGCATCAGCTGAAATAATGAATGAAGAAACAACGTCCCATTTCACATTGATGGTCTTGAGGATGCATTTTTTTTTACTTACTTATTTATTTCTTTTACTAAAATAAATATGCTTGCATGAAAAAGAAAACAAAACCAGGCTCTATGCCCAGAGGCCTAACTGCACAATTCTATGGCTCAGCAAGTGCATTTCATGCTGCTGTGTTTTGACCATATGTTAGTGACACATTAAGATCACATGCATCTGTAATTACTGAGGCTGTACTGACTTATTCAGGCAGAGTAAGATGCTCGTGTGCCTGACCCAGCAGTCACTAATCTCTTTCTAATAGAAGCAAACCACCAACCCTACAGCTTGGATAGGGCTTCTGGTCGCGGAGGTTTTGTAAAATAAGGATGTACCACTATATGCTGAAGAGTAAAATGAGCAAGGGTGGCTCCTCGCAGTGTAAAGCACGTTGTGACTCAATCCTTGGGAGAACCCCTGAAGCCTACAGAAAGCACAGCAAACTGTTGCCAGAAGTTGGTGAACTGGTAGGAAAGATGTAGGAACGAGAAGAAAGCTGACGCTGCGTCCAGCCCTTTATGCAACTGGAATTATGAAACCAAGTACCTGAGCAGCTGGCAAGAGTTTCTGCTGCATGAGTGTGTGTCTGAAGTGCAAAGGTCAGGGCACGTGAGCCTGTTTGCAGCTATTATGTGTATGCTTACACATACATTACAACAAATCTGCTGGCTCCCTTTTCCTTGGAAGCAAGCATCTTCGCCTGGCTTTCACAGGTGTATTATAAACCACGGCTCCCTGCCTCCGTTCAGAGAAAGCACATGCTAATGGAAGCGCTCTTTGCTGGGTCTGTGCCTCAGAGACAGCATTTGGGGCTTTTCTCTGGTAAAAAGTTTGTCAGTGTGTCAGGGCACAGGGGGTGAGATGTGGTTTGTAGGGTCGGGCTCAGCTCCCTGATCCCCCTTTCTCCCCTAATTTTACACCTTTTTACACTTTGATTTATTCCGTTGTGCTTTGGTAAAACACGCCTCAAATGTTGGGCGAAATTCACCCAGTTCCGGGTAAGAAAACAAATCCGCTGGAGAATGCGGGCATCGATCCCGCTACCTCTCGCATGCTAAGCGAGCGCTCTACCATTTGAGCTAATTCCCCGTGCTGCCGCCGCTCCCTGCCCGCCCTCCCCACACGCCCTCGCCCCCCCCCCCCCCCCCCCGGGCTTGTTGTCAGGCAGTTTGGCGCCCGTGCGGCGCGCGGCGGGGGCGTGGCTCCGCGCGCCGGCCAATGGCGAGCCGCGGGGGGCAAGGCCGAAGGGAGAGCGCCAGCGCAGGCGCCCGCCCCTCCCGCTGTGGCCCTCCCGCCGGGTCCCCGCAGCTCAGCTCCGGATTGGACGGAGGGGGCTTTTTATTTTTTTAAAAAAGAGGCATCCGCTCTCCTGATTGGTCGAAGGGAACGCCTGTCACTTGCGACGTCACCGTGTTGCTAAGCGGGGAAGGTGGGAAGCGAGGCGCGCCCGCCCCGTGCGCTGACTGGCTGACAACAACCCGAGAGCCCGCCCCCGCGCCCCGTCCCACCCCGTCACAGCGCCGCGAGCGAGCGACTGACACCCGCGAATCCCCCAATCAGCGACCGCGCCTCGGCCGGGACCCAATAGCAACGGCGCGTGGGGCGGCGTGGGGCGGTGCCGGGGCGGGATGATTGGCAGGCGGGGCGGAGGGAGGGGGGGGGCTGGCAGGAGCTGCTATGCCCGCCATCTTGGAGCGGCGGTGATGGTGGCGAGCGGAGCCCTGCCCGCCTGAGCGGAGCCAGCCGGGGCCGTGAGGCGGCGGGACGCGCCTCGCCGAGGTACGGCGGCTCCGCGGCTCCCTCCCGCCTCCCTCCCGCTCCCCTCGGGGAGCCGCCGCCTCGCTGCTGCCTCTCCCGCGCCTGCCCGGGCCTGGCGCCTGCCCCGCTCCGGCACAGGGGGGCTGCGGGCGCCCCTCAGGCAGCGCCGGGCTCGCCTCAGGCCGCGGGCCTCGGGCGGGCCCCGCCGCGCGCTCGGAGCCCAGGCCGGGCCTGGCGGGCCGAGGCCGGGGGGTGCCGCGGGCCTGGGCGCGGCGGGGAGGGCCCGGGCCGCGCCGGGGGGAGCGGTGCCCTGCCCGCCGCCACGGGCTGCCTCAGCGGCACCTCTGGGGGTGGTGCCGGGGGCCGGCCGGGTTCCCCCCGCGGCTCTGGAGGGGGCGAAGGGGCCCCCAGCAGCGGGGGAGGTGCGCGGTGCCCCCCTGCAGCCCCTCGTCCCGCTGCTGTTGCTGCACAACTTTACTCGCGCTTCGCTGCTAGCTCTCGGTGCTGACACAGAAGCGCCTCGCTGGTACCTGCCTGCGCTTTCCTTCTCTAAACTCAGCTGCTACAGATTCCTGTAAACATATTGTGTAGTTACTGTTTTTTTTTCTCTCTCTCTTTTTTTTTTTTTTTTGGCAGCTTTTTCAAAATCAGAATTTATTAAGACTGTGGCAGTGTTTGGGGAAGCTTTAACTGCTGTTCAGTGCCTCTGGCAAAATCTGACTTTGACCCAGCCAGTTCTGGTGTTTTTTGTTTTACTTCAATGGCTAAAATGAACCTGCCGCTTCTCCTGTTCTTGTGTTACTTTAATGGTTAAAATCTTCTGTAAGCACGAGAGGGGGTTAGTGTTGTGTCTGGTGTCTCTGTGACATAAATACAGGTGGGAGGAAAGTCAGGATCTGCCCTGTCAGGACAAATGTTATTTAAGTAGCAACGCACCTATTCAAAGTTTCCTGTTGTTCTAATTTAGGAAAAGTCTTGTGAGTGGAAGAATACAGAAAACTTAGGGGTGGTCTAAAAGCTCTAGGAGATCTTCCTTGAAACACGTTGGCAACTTAAAAGTGAAAGGTTGTATCACTTGTTGCTTGTAGCAATACTATTTATAAAGTGTAATTCAGTAAAAGGAGTCTAAATGTACTCTAAGAGTATGTGTTGTTTCTTTTAAATACTGAATGCTAAACTGGTTTAGTTTCCACGTAGTAAACATATTCAGTAGATTGTGAACTGTACAAATACCAAATCCCTTGTTCTTTTTCTTTTGCTGGCATGCTGAAAGGTGGGAACTCTCCCTGTTGCAGTAACTACCTGGAACCCCCAAGTTTTTAAACTGCAATGTGTATCTTCCGGACAGCGTGTATACTAGTAGGAGTCTGTGTGATTACTTAGCTCCGTTTTACTTCTTTGTGCTCTCATTAATGAGGCATAGACTAACTGTAGCTTGCGAGAGTCTTTATTATGCAAATCTAACAGAACACTACCGAATTGTTTCAATATATAACTCGTTGATGAGGCTCCATGCAGATGTGGTAGCCAGTCAGCATGGTAGGTTCTTCAGTTTGTAATTGTAAGTACTTGTTTAAATGCACTTATTGGTTAGTTTCCTTCATCTATGATGTTGCTTGAACATAGATAATATGGTTTTATCTGCTTTCTGTATGAAAAACAGAATTCTTGTGCAGTATTGAACACTGTAATTCCTGAGTTACTAAAGGAATTTATCTTCTAATGCTACTGGAAGACTTTATTTTGGACAGAAGAACTGCTAAAGAGTTCTGTTAACAATGAAATTAAGGAAAACACTGAGCTGGAGTGAAACTTACAGTTCAGAAACTGAGTAAAAGCAGCCTGTTCAACGGTAATGTCTTTAAGCAAGGTAGAGTGTTACAGCTTCTTAGAAAGCAGAGTAGATTTATATGTAAACTGCGGTGGCTGTAATGTCTCTGGAATCTTTTAAATATAAATTAGCCATTGTTATTCTGTTACGGAATTAAAGATATTTAATAGTCTGTGTGCGTTTTGAGAGTTGCCTACAAACTGTTCATTGTACTTCTACAGCCTAGATACCAATCAGAGAATCAGATGATGATCAGAGAATGATATTCAAGTGGCTTAAATAGAAGGGAATCTGAATTTAGCAGTATTATAGCAGAAAACTATGTATGTAATTTTAGTATTAACAGATGGTTAGAGTGAACTCTATTGCTGTGGCTCAACAGCTTTGCTTCTCTGCTCAGCTTAAGCTTGAAGTGCACGTACTATGATGCACTAAACAGCTGGCTCAAAAACAACCAGAATGGGACTGAAACATTAGTCAGAAGAGAGAAATGCTTTGAAGAGCAGTTTGGTCCACTTGCCTTTCTCCCCACTGATGATGTCCTCTTTTGTCCAAGTCCTCAAAAAGCCTTGAAATATATATATATTTTAACCTCAGGAGGTAGTTAAGAAAATCACTATATCATTATATTGAGATATTTCATGTTCTTGCTTTAGTGTTCCAGCACACCATGCAGCATCCTTGTAGGTAGTAGGCTTGACAATGAACTTCTTACACTTAACTGGGCTCATTCACAGCCTTTGGAAGCTGTGATGGAAACTGCAGTTTCTGTTTGAGCAGCAGAAGAGGTGCTATTATGAGTGTAGTGGTCCTATTCCATAAGCTAGGATGTTTTAAGCATATCATCTGTCATCTAGGTCTGGCTATCATAGTAGCACTTTAATCTGTGACTGCTAAGATTTCCACATATTGTATTTTACTTCACATGGTAGGTTTAGGAGTCCTGCATTATCATGAAGCAGATGCCACATCCGTGTTCACAGAAGACTGTATGTTTGGTTGGGTTTTGTCAAGAGCAAGGTGTGGATACATTGTTTTTTGGCAAAACTTTCCCCAGTAACAAAACAAGCAGGGGTAGAGGAGAAAATAGTATCTTTCTTGTCCTAACTTTTGTAAGGTTGGAGGAGAAGAACAAGAGACTTGGGAAATTGTTGATTCATGTTAGATGCTGATATTTTCAGGGTGGGAGGCAAGCCTGAAAAATCAACCAGAAAATATGTAGAGAGTATGAACGTAACATTGGAAGCTCTGCATCTCGTGTTTAAGCATTTTCGTGATGTGTCAATGTTCCAGCATCTGTTGTAGAAACCATATGCTACTAAGCAACTGAAGTAAAATGTTTTCCTGCCCTTGGATATTATGTGTAGCTCTATAGCTAGCTTGGGACACTTTTCAGGAATCTGAGTAGACTGAATTGATAGGATCAGGGTGACGTTTGGTACAAGCTGCTAACATCTTGCTCATGGCCCTTCTAGGGCTAATAGCATTTTAGTAACAGTACTTCATGCTAAATTGGAGGAAAAAAGCCACACTGTTATTGTCGAATACAAGAATTGTCAAGAACTTGTTTTTTTTTTTTTTTTGTTTTTTTTTTTTTTTTTTTTAAATAGCTTCCATAAGGTGCTGAGAAGCATATTTGAAGTGGTGTATGTAATTTGGAGTGTGTGTATGGGGAAAGTGCCTGCAGTATGTAGCAGCCCTTGACTGTTGTTTTGTGTTGCTCTTCCCTTGTGTAGTCCTCCCGTAGTCCCGTTAAACAGACCTATCTGTTCCTCTTCCACAGGACTTAAAAACTGGGGGTGCTCAGTGACAGGATTTGTGCCTTTGGCGAAGAGAATACCGCGAGGACTCGAGCGTATAGTTGTATGAACTGTGAAGCTGTAATACATGGCACTGAGATGAGAGTGTATGCTGTCTCTGCCTCTAAATATAACTGAAAGAATCGAAACTATTATTTGATAGTACCAGCAATCTGTTGTTGCAGGGGGTGAGGGACTGAGTAAAAGACTGCAGGGTTATTTTAGGCTTTGTTGGCAAAATGGGTAAGAGCATCTGTGAAACTGATAGTTCAATCTTAACCAAATCCTCTCCGTGTTGTAAAGGGAGGCAGATTTAAAATAGAAAAAAAGCAGAAAGTGCCTGATAGTGAGATTTGAGGGTTAATTTCCTTGGATGAAGTCCTGAGACTGTTCCTGTTGCATTTTGGATGAGATTTTTCCAAGCATTTGTACACAGTTTGTATACTTTTGCAGGGCGATGGAGTACACGGCCTAGTGGTCTCCTTTCCGTGCCTGTTGGGTCTTATGGAAACTGAAAGGCTGTAGGCCAGCTCTTGTTTGTTGTGCCAAAAGATGCTTCTAAAAGCAAAGTAAACTCTAAAGCCTTTTTACTACAACCGAAGTCCCGGGTGAGACTTTGTGCAAGGGCCCTGTAATTCCCTGTGGGGTCACGATGGGGTTGGGATTGAGGATGGAAACTTTCAGGTGTTTTCAGCAAAAAATAGTGGTCATTTATAATGAGGTTATTAAACATATTCCAGAATATAGCACTTCCTGTTTTCAAAGCATCCTCATTGTTACAATGTCTTGAGTGAATCCTAGATACCATTTTATCCCTACACAGTGATTTTATCATACACAGTGCCACTGTCACCTCCTTTGGTGGAGACAGCAGAATCTCCAATCAGATCCTTATATGCAAGTAAAAGTTTTTTGTGCAAACTTAGCTTCTTAGAGAGGTTTTTGGAGCAGATCTTCTAATTTGACAAACTTTTGAGCTATAAAATCACAGAATGGTTTAGGCTGGAAGGGACATTAAGGATCATCTGGTTGCAGCCCCCTGCCATGGACAGGGACACCTTCTACCAGCCCAGGCTGCTCCCAGCCCTGTCCAGCCTGGCCTTGGGCACTGCCAAGGATGGGACGTCCACAGCTTCTCTGGGCAGCCTGTGCCATGCTATCTCCACTGGAGGAGGTGACAGCAGCACTGTGTATCACAGAATCACAGAATTTCTAGGTTGGAAGAGACCTCAAGATCATCGAGTCCAACCTCTGACCCAACGCCAACAGTCCCCACTAAACCATATCCCTAAGCTCTACATCTAAACGTCTTTTAAAGACTTCCAGGGATGGTGACTCCACCACCTCCCTGGGCAGCCCGTTCCAGTGCCTAACAACCCTTTCAGTAAAGA